GAGATTAGGGTTATATACGGGGGAAAGGATTCAATCTTGGACATTGGATCAAGTGAGATCGATGGTCAGGATCTTCCACTTAAAGGGAACCACGACGTTTCGCTTATGCGTGAAAATGGGTTGGTCTCAAACCTAAATGGGTCGGGTATTGAGGAGGGCTTAAGGCCGTTGGATTAGCTTGGGAAGGACGACCCAGATCGAACGTCGCATACGACGTCGTTTGTGTTAGTGAAGTGCCTGATCTGGGCCATTCATTTTGCCTGATCTGGGCCGTTCATTTTGATTGATCAATGGCTCAGGGATGGGGCTCAAAAACGGTGTCGTTTGGCTGTGGTCTCATAGACCTGGTCTTTGGACTGGGTCAAATGTATTTGGGCCTGACCTTTGGGTCTAGCCTGGTCCGATTTTCCTTTAAATCTTAGCCTCTTTTCCCTTTCTTTCTTAATTAATCATCATTAAATAAAAATCCTAAGCAATTTTGTAAAATCAAAAGAAATGAAATTACACACGTATTTAACACCTACAATAATTAATACAAATTACACATTTAAATAAAATCACATAATGACAAGGCACAAAAATGCATATTTTTTTATTTTTCTTTTTAACCAAATTATGGTTAATTAATTTCTAAATGCACAATTAATTCCTAAATGCATGCACCACGTATTTTTTTTGTATTTTTATTAATTTTAACAAGGAAACATGCACAGACAAATGCAAACGATATAAGAAAAATAACACAAAATTCCCAACAATTGCAAACAAACAAAAATTATTTTGTTTGAATTTTTTTGGGAGTGATTCTCATATAGAGCAAAAATCACGTGCTCACAAAGAGTACTTACGTTCTGAGTTCCACGTCTCCGGGAACCCTACAGAGTTGGGAACCAAAGGCTCCTTCCGTATTGCGATTGGCTTTGTCATCAGATTGCCCCACAAAGCTATTCGTACCACGATGCACCAACTGAAGCATGGTACCCCTTATATAACTCACACTGAGCATTTGCAGGAGATGGTGAACAGAAACCGCCTCCTTAGCTTTGGCCGCATATGTTGTGAGAATTCTACATACCTTCAATGTATAAGGGGTGAGCTGGGCCGGGCATGCTCCGTAGAAGCGGCAAAGTTCTTTTGCCAAAGGGTTGAGTGGAAAACTGTACCCAATCCGAAGAGCATATTCACAAAACGTACAAAATCCAGGCTTGTGTACGTTGGAATAATCTATCCCAGCGGGAGCCACCTCAACGTGGTCTGGGATATCATACGTCGTTCTGAGGGCGTCCAAATGAGATGGCATCAGCTCGTTATGTTCCCAATGTGGAAGTGAGCTTTTATTCTTAAACTCATTCCGACTACTCATGTTCTTTGGAAGAGCGTTGGTCACTGATAAATGAACAAGGGTTTTCTCTGCCTCCTCCTCTTCACCGCCTGAAGAAGGTAAAACCCTAGAAAAGACGTCGCCCTCCATCTTTCTACTGTCTTGACGATGCTTAACCATGGTATGACTTATAAAAGAAGGATGTTTTGACGATACGAGGTTCGATCCCCAGGAATGAAAGTTTTTAAGCAAATCAACGTTTGTCAGAAAAAGATGAAGAAATACTCTATAAAAGATTCGAAAGACGAATCGTTTTCAACCTCTCCTCTATTTATAAGGGAAAATCATACGGAAATCGAAAAGGCATAGTTCAAAAACTGACGCGGGAAACCAAAACGTCACGTCATGTCCTGAACCGTCTCGGGAACAAAAATAATGATCACGCACGTGATTGATGACGTCATTTTAAAAAGGGGTTGCATGTCAATGGCACAACAACATCATGCATGTTCTCGTCTTTTGCAAAGGCTCATACGGGCAAGTCAAAAGTACGAAAAGGCTAAGTATACATGTCCGTCCATTGAAGACGCCCCCCGAGCGCGCCTCCAACGAACGGAGGGACTATCTGTATTGGGCAAATTTGGTTCTCTATGTCCTCATGCCGAGTGAGCACGTCCTTTATGGTAAGGCCGACCCAAGTAAGGCCGGCCCGAACAAAGTCGACCTCAGTAAAGGAACGACCCAGTCGATATAACCAAAGACGACATCGTTTAAGGCTCTGTCTCTTCCGCACAAGGAAGCCACCAACTTCTGTACTTTTTCTTTGATTATTTCGATGAAGGTATCCTAATGTATAAAGGAAACTTTCACCTTGTAATGGACATATGTGTATTGATCTGAATATACAACTCTTCTACTCTCTATCTCTGAGCATCTCTCTCTCTCTCTCTCTTAAGCTAAAGCCTTTACTTGTTCTTGTATACTTGCATCTTTAGATCTTTATATATTGGTATTTATATCGATCTTAGCACAACAATCTTCTCTATGTCACATTATACTTGATTACGATTTATCCTGTATTGGGAAAAAACCGAGTTTATATTAAATATGACGTGGCATGATACATGGACCAGTCAAAGGGTCAACGGACAAAAGTTGGATAAAAGATACGAGCAGCGATAGGCACGAGAAGAATAATTCATGACAGGCACGGGCATAAGCCAGATATGAAGCACGTATCTCAGTAAGGCATTTAAGACTAGGGGTTTATAAGGGTTCAGAAGATATGAATCTGATAACGAAAAATGGTCCAAATACGGCATTAAATACCTACGTTAGTGAATTAGTATTTAATGGCAATGTTTGTGTAATGTCTCATTAAATGTCCATTATTATTCTCATTTAAATTAAGAAAGCAAGTCGTTACTCCTTAGAAGCTATAAAAGGAGGAGGTTTCATCATTTGTAAAGGGACACGAGACTATTGAGATTATATTGAAGTATTATTTTATTTCTTGTTTTAATATTATCTTCATAAGTCTTATTATTCTTGTCTCCAGATTATCAGTAACCCGATATTTCATCTTAGATTCAAGTTTTAGCCAAAGAACTATTTTTTAGTTAAACAAATTGGTTCCATTATCGGGAATTTGATAATCAAATCTTCCAATATATTTCATCTATTATCATAATCATGTCGAACAACAACGACATCATTCCTGGAAATCAAATAGGTCAAGAACACGATGGTCAACAAGAAGATCACCATGACGATCAACATGACATTCCTTCACATCAAAACTCTCCACGTGGAACCCGTGACCGTACTCCCAATGATGAATCTAAACATGTGGATAAAAGGAATGAAAATATGACTGGAAATGCAACTATAGCCGAAATAGTTGATGCACGGGTCGAAAGGGCTTTAGAAGCTATACTCAGAAGATTACATGTTGCACCATCAACTCCGAATGATAATACGTTGGAGAACCCTTATTCAGGATTAATCAATTCTGGTATTGTTCCAAGTAAATCACACGAAGGTGAACCAGATAACTCTTCAGTTTCTCATTGGCAAAATTTAGTACTAACCTTGCAGCAGCAGCTTAAAGAACAAAGTGAGCGCATCGAGCAAATTCCTGGAGTAGACATAGACAAATACTCTCAACAACCCTGGAAATCATCGGCTGCTCCACTACCAAATCCCAAAAAGCTTAATATGCCCGACATCTCAAAGTATGATGGTACAACAGATCCACATGACCATGTGACTGTATATACAAATGGTGTGAAAGGCAGTGATTTAACCAAGCAAGAAATTGAATCGGTGCTGGTCAAGAAATTTGGTGAAACACTCACCAAGGGTGCACTAACCTGGTACTCTCTCTTACCTGAAAACTCTATAAATTCCTTTGTTGAGCTTGCAAATTCCTTTATAAAAGCACATCGGGAGCACAAAAGGTTGAGAAAAGAATGGAGGATATCTTCAAAATCAAGTAAGGGGACTCCGAGCTACTCAGAGATTTTGTTGATAGATTCCAGCGTGAAAGGATGACTTTACCGTCCATGCCTGATAATTGGGCAGCAATAGCTTTTGCAAGTAATTTGAACGATAAAAGTTCAGAAGCCACGAGAAGACTTAAAGAAAGCCTTCGTAAATTTTTCGCTACTACTTGGAATGATGTCTATAACAGGTACAGTACGAAGCTCAGAATTGAAGAAGATAACGTGCCTCAATACCAACGTGAAGAAAGAAGCGGGACTAGAAGGTCAGAAGCCAAAAAAAGATCTGGTAAGAATAGATACGATCCATATATGGGACCTGCAGGTAGGGACTCAAGAACAAAGCAAGATAATCAACGTTATGATCAAAGATCAAGAAATAGGGAGACCGGGTCTTCATCCAGATTTAGAGGTGATCGAAGCAACCAGGAGCCACAAAATGATGATAGAAATCCAAGAGCTCGGTTCGCTGGTTATAATTTCAACGTAACTGATTATGAGCTCGTATATGTTCTAAGGAGTATGGGTGACAAAGTGCGGTGGCCAAAGGAGATGCGATCAAATCCAAATAGACGCAATCCTGACCATTGGTGCGAATTCCACAACGACCATGGGCACAAAACATCATAATGCTGATTTTTACAAAGTGCGGTAGATCATTATTAAAGCAAGGTTATCTCACTGAATTATTTAATGAAAAGGAAAAGCAGGCCTATATGAAAAATAGGCAGGAGCCTCCAAAGCCACCATCACCTAAGAGAACCGTGAATGTCATCAGTGGAGGTGAAGATATTTATGGAGTAATGTATACATCTTCAAATAAGGTTTCAAAATGACGATTACACGTGGGAAACTAGTATGACAAACCCTAGAGCATGAAAGCATAACTTTTGATGATACAGACATGGAAGGCGTGATGACCCCTCATAATGATGCCCCGATAATATCTTTACTTGTGCATGATACTAACGTGAAACGAGTTTTGATTGATCCAGGAAGTTCTGCAAATATCATTCTCCTAAGAGTGTTACGCGAGATGCAAGTAGAAGACAAAATGATTCCAAAAGCCCACACCTTGAGAGGATTTGATAATTCAAATGTAGTAACTAAAAGTGAGGTAACACCAACAACTTTTGCAGAAGGTGTCACGAAGGAAACTAAATTTCAGGTGGTAGAAATGGAAATGGCATATAATATAATTATGGGTAGACCATGGATTCATGATATGGATGTTGTTCCATCTACCTTACATCAAGCTATGAAGTTCCCATCACCATAGGGAATTTGCAAAATACGAGGAGAGCAAACAGCAAGGAGCATCGATGTTATACAAGACACGAGCACAGTAAATGAAGAAAAATAGCAATTATAGAAAACAATTGAGGGTATCATGGTTCAAACATCAACTGAGCAAGAACGGACAGATCTAGATTCGAGGCCTGATGTGATTCGAGAACCAAAAGAAAATGAAAACATTAAAACAACAATAGAGGAACTCGAAGCTGTAGTATTATTTAAACAATGTCCCGAACGAAAGGTCTATGTGGGAGTTAATCTAAATCCCAAAATACGAGGTATGTTAATTGAATTTTTAAAAACTAACGTGGACTGCTTTGCTTGGTCCCATGCTGATATGACAGGTATACCACCGCATGTGATGGCTCATAAACTCAACGAGGACTCGTCCTTTACTCCAATCAAGAAAAAGAAAAGAAAGCAAGGGGCTTTCAAAAATCAAGTAATCCAAGATGAGGTCCAAAAATTGTTGAAGATTGGGTTAATCGGAGAGGTAAAATATCCTATTTGGCTAGCTAACACGGTGGTCGTACCTAAGAAGAACGGTAAGTGGCGAGTTTGTGTAGATTATACTGATCTAAACAAAGCTTGCCCAAAAGACTCTTTTCCTTTACTGCATATAGATCAATTAATTGATGCAACTGCAGGTCATGAACTTTTGAGTTTTTTAGATGCATATTCGGGGTACAATCAAATTAAAATGGACCCTAGTGATGAGGAAAAGACTTCTTTCATCACAGACCGAAGGACTTATTGTTACAAAGTTATGCCCTTTGGTCTAAAAAATGCTGGAGCAACTTATCAAAGGTTGGTCACCAAAATGTTTCAAAAACATTTAGGAAAAACTATGGAAGTATATATAGACTATATGCTCGTCAAAACCCAGCATTCTCATGATCACATCTCTCATCTAACTGTCACCTTTGAAATTTTGCGAAAATTCAATTTGAAGCTCAACCCTGAAAAGTGTGCATTTGGAGTAGCTTCAAGTAAATTTTTAAGTTTTCTTGTTTCTAACCATGGCATTGAGATAAATTCTTCTCATATTAAAGCAATTGAAGAAATACCTGATATCCTCACCAATAAAAAGGAGGTTCAAAGATTAACAGGAAGGATCGCGGCCATGGAAAGATTTATTTCAAAATCTTCAGAAAAGTACTTCAAATTCTTCTCTGCTCTCAAAAAGCAGGATCATTTCGAATGGAATGAAGATTGCCAACAAGCTCTTAGAAATTTGAAAGCTTACCTGTCAAATCCTCCTCTATTGGCAAAACCAAAGGAGGGTGAAAAGCTACTCATCTATTTAGCAGTTTCAGAAGTAGCAGTAAGTGCTGTTTTAGTCTGTGAAGACCAAGATAAGCAATCTCCTATCTATTATGTAAGCAAGACTTTACTAGATGTTGAGACAAGGTACCCACAACTAGAGAAATTAGCATTAACCTTAATCATGGCATCTAGAAAATTAAGGTCTTATTTTCAGTGTCATCCTATTGTTGTAGTCATTGCTTTTCCATTAAGAAATATCTTGTATAAACACGACCTGTTAGGTAGATTAGCAAAATGGGATATAGAATTAAGTGAATATGAAATAATTTATCAACCTAGAACTGCTATAAAATCCCATGTACTTGCCGATTTCGTAGCTGATTTTAGTCAAGGTATGCATTTAGAAGCAGAACAAGAGTTACAGGTTTTTAATGGCGCAAACCCAGGAACTTGGGTGTTATTTTCTGATGGTTCATCTAATGTAAAGGGGGCAGGCTTAGGAATTGTTCTTATAGCACCTACTGGTGAAACAATTAGGCAAGGTATAAAATGTCACCCCGTAACTAACAATGAAGCAGAGTATGAGGCTGTAATTGCAGGTTTAGAATTGGCACGAGAACTTGGTATAGCACAAATAATTATCAAAAGTGATTCCCAACTCGTGGTTAATCAAATACTGGGGACATATACAGCCACGGAAATGCGAATGCAGGAGTATCTCGAAAAGGTACGAGAATTAATAAGACAATTCCAAACATGGAAAGTAATGCAGATTCCAAGATAGGAGAATGCGGAGGCCGATGCTATAGCTAATCTTGCATTTGCAGCAGACATAGCAAATGATGCAAATGCTTCTGTTATTCATTTATTTCACTTTGAACTAGATAAAAATGAGGTAAATTTTAGTCATTTAACATGGGATTGGAAAAATGAAATAGTTACTTTTTTGCAATATGGAACCGTCCCTAATGACAAAGCAAAGGCTTATGCACTTCGCAGGAAAGCTGCCCATTATTGTTTGCATCAAGGAAATCTTTATAGAAAGATGTTTGGAGGACCTTTAGCAAGGTGTCTTGGACCTTCACAGACGGAATATGTAATGAGAGAAATACATGAACGACACTGTGGAAATCATGCAGGAGGTAGGTCATTGGTAAAAATATTGATTCGAGCTGGATACTATTGGCCTAAAATGGAGGAGGAAGCAAATGATTTCGTATCTAAGTGTGATAAATGTCAAAGGTACGGAAATAATATGCATAGACCAGTTGAACTTCTTCACCCTATTATATTCCCGTGGCCATTCATAAAATGGGGAATGGATATCGTAGGTCCATTACCGCGAGCAAAGGGTCAGGTAAAGTTTCTACTCGTACTTACCGATTATTTCACTAAATGGGTAGAAGCAGGGGCGTTCAAACGGGTACGAGAAGAAAAAGTTAAAGACTTCATTTGGAGGAATAAAATATGTCGCTTTGGAGTACCAAAAGAGATCGTATGTGATAATGGTCCACAATTTATAGGACCACAAATCACATAATTCTTTCAAAGTTGCCAAATCAAAAGAATAACAGCAACACCGTATCATACGGTGGGAAATGGACAAGCGGAATCCACAAACAAGATTATCATCAACAACCTAAAGAAAAGGTTACAAGATTCAAAAGGAAATTGGCCTGAAGTATTACCAGCTGTACTATGGGCATATCGAACAACGACAAAAACAAGTACGGGTAAAACACCATTTTCAATGGTCTATGGAGCAAAAATCTTAATACCAGTGGAGATAGGTGAACCAAGTATACGATGTGTTCAAGCAACGGAAGATTCAAATGACGAAGAATTACGAGTAAATCTTGATCTACTTGAAAGGAGAAGAGAAGCAGCACTAATAAGGATGGCAGCTCAAAAGTAAGTAATTGAAAGATACTACAATAGGAAGGCACGTCTCAGGTTCTTTAAAGTTGGGGACTTCGTGCTCAAAAAAATATTCCAATCAACGAAGACAGCTAATTTAGGAAAGCTAAGTCCAACGTGGGAAAGACCTTATAGAGTTCGTGAAATTGCGGGGAAAGGAGCATATGAGTTGGAGACTATGGATGGCAAGGTTTTACCCTCACATTGGAATGCTGTTCATTTGAAGAGATATTACTTCTAAGAGAGCACCCACGGTAAGGTATCGCCATGTTAGAATTTTTTCTTTGAATTGTTAAAATTTTACTAACGATTTTAGATGCTAGGCAAAAAATCTAACTCGTGCCAAATGATGAGTCACGACCTGCACGGCAAAATGGAATACTCTTAAATTCCCAGCCCAGGGTTACATTAATCTGATGAAAATACACACGAGTTAGGCAGTCTTCATCTGTAATCGAACCTCCGAGTCCCGTATATTTTTCTGTTTCGGGAAAAGGACCAAGTTGAGAGAAAATACACAAGTGCTCGAGGCTTCATACATCACCACTCAAACACTTGGGGGACTATGTGATATATATACGAGTTTGTGTAGAAGAATATTTACGAGCAAGCAAGATTGAAAAAGAAAAATCAGGTTAGAAGAAGTCAAGTGTCAAGTGGAAGATACGAAGTCATTAGCATTCATCATAATGTTCTTTCCTATGAGAACAACAAAGTCACCTCTCAAACCCTTCCTAATGTGTAAAGATAGGTTCATGACTATGTATTAAAAACAGGTTATGAAAAAGAAACCTTGTTTATCTTATGTAAAAAATCTGTTATAAGAAAACAGTTACGAAAAAGTTGATGTACTTCAATACATGTAACACTCAAAAAACTTATCAAAAGTTCATGAATAAAAACTTATCAAAGTTATTTCATACAAAACGTATGTGTTCCTATCTCTTCCATCGTATTATAACACCATTATAAAGTTGAGACGTCTTCTTCATTAAGTGTCGATAAATAAAAGGGCCCTCTTTTATTTTCTTCATGATGATAAATCCATGAGAAGAATCATAAAGCATTTTTCAAAAATAGAAAAATGCTAAATTATTCTATAAGTCCTAAATAAAAAAATAGGCAAGAATAGAGTAAGTAAAAAGCTATTCTATAAAGTCTTGAATAAAGTAAAAAGACGAGAATAGAAAGGGGTATTAATTAAACTTCTTAAACATAAAAGACTAAGAAAAAACTTAGTCATTAAAACTGCAATTGTTTTTAAACAAATGCCCCATTATGAGAACCGGGGATTTTACCAAAAATACCTTAAAATTACCAATGGATTAAACCGCCAATTTTAAAGTAAAAAAATGGGGTAAGGACTGAAACACTTTTAACTGGTCACTGAGGGGATTGGAACATCAGAAGTTGTATCCTCACTTCTAGAAGAAACAACGGGCTTAATAACAACTTCTGAAGGAGCAGCAACAGGAGCAGTTTCAGCTGAGCTTGAAGTATTAATATTATCGAGGGAAGCAGTAGTCACGGGAACTTCAGTTCCCATAGGCTGTGTAGCAAGCGTTTCACCCTCGGTCATTGGAACTGCAACTTCAGTTGTTTCAACAACTGCTTCAGAATTTGAAGGTTCTTCTGCTCCATGTGTTCCAAGTGTTGGAGAAATATTAATGAGTTTTACTGGAGAAAGAGTATCAACAGTTTGGCTATTCTTCTCAATCGCATCTAAAACTTTAGCTATCTCATATTGCAAGTTAAAATTCTCTTGAGTAGTTTCCAGCAATGCATCACGACAAGATCTCA